TGCCCGTCCACTTGAACGCCTAATGACTACGCTGTAACCAGCTCATGAACACTCTACTTACCTAAAATTGTGAAGGCATTACATTTCAGGAACCTCCCCCCCCACAAAGATATAAGAAAACAAATACACACGCGTGTCCTAGATTTTAGGGGCCATAAGATCAAAGTCGGACATCAGTTTTCAATAATTTTCTTTTTTTATCGCTAGACAGATGCTAAGGTTTCTCGAGTTTTCTGGTGTGTGGCGGGGAAGGGGAGGGTCTTCGTGATTTACAGCAATGAACCGATATGTGAACCAGCTCTCAGTTCTGTTAAGCACTCAGAACCGATATCTGGTTTATTACGGTACGACAGAGAAGCACAAACACGCTACACACAACAGTGTTTACACATCATCCTAACATCTGCATCAGTGAGAGGTTCGTAAACAGTGGTCTACAGCCCACGGGAACAAAATAAAGCAACAAGACCGCATTTCATTACAAGGATTCACACCCTGTACGTTACAAACAGGACGTAATGCAGAACTCTGCGCTGTACCGACCAAATATGCTTCGATAACGGAATGTCCAAAGTTCGAATCTCGACAAGTATAATCCTTTGTCAATATCCGTGGTTCCCATCACTCGATCCAAAACAAATGCTTCACCCTGGCTTAGATACGAACAACCCAATCGTGTCTTTTATTGATCTACGTAAATCATGCAAAATCCACTGAAAAAAAAAATTGTTTGTATATGTAAGGTCTTTGGCTCGAAACCAGCGACTGATTGTTTGCAGCCTTAAAATAGGCCATGACAGTTTCTTACGCGTACGCGTTATCACAGCTACCATCGTCTTCGTAAGTCTGGCAGGAAGTGAGACAACTGAAAAATCATAAAATCATAAAGATTAAAAGTGTATTTGGAAAGTGAACAGCGCCGACATCCTGTCCGAGCGTCTACTTCAGGCTCGTAATTCATGTGTAGTTGATAAACGACAAGATGAATATGTACTCACACTTATCACGTGATAAGGCCTACACACTTCACGTCGAACACAAGACTCAGTTCACAAGAAACAAACTGGTGTGCTCCAAAAAAAAAACAGAATTCCTTATCCTTCCACACGGACAGACACACGTCAACTCTAAAGAAAAATCCTTTTTGGGAAGGTTAGACAAGAAATTCCTCGCATTTCATGGGACCCCCAAACACCATTACCGAGTTCCAAATACCTCGCTGAACTTTTAAGTACTCTGAGATTTCCATTGTGAATATAATTAGTTATTTATTGACAATATATTTCGAAGTAACTCGATCACCACATTCTCTTAAAATACATTTTATCAAAGCATAAAACTGATGTACATAATTACAGTATTATTGTTTACTGAACTGAAGTAGTTACCAAACCTCTGAAGATCGTCTAAATATTATTTAAGAATTCAGTCCTTACCGCAAAGAAAACACCACACTTCACCACTACAAGGAACTAGTTGACGCTGTCTAATTAAATAATGTTCGTTTACACTAAAAAACTTACGAAACAAAGAAATTCAATTTCTGCAATAGAAATATACAGTTACTGATTATTAAAGAATGTGGTACATATAGTAACCACTGAGTTTTAAGCGACTGATATGAAATAAGATACAATTTGATTCCTCTGCTAGAGGATTAGTTTGAGTATTTTTACCACGCACGTCAGAGTTCTGGTGAAACATTGCGGGGTTTAGGGTTCTCGTGGAGATGTAAGATTCCATCTTCACGGCGACTTTTTCCATCTTACGGTACACTAGCCTCGAGGCATGTAACTGATAGCAACAGGACTGCTTTGTCCCAGGAAACTGGCCCCTGTTAATAAGGTCAGCATTTCGTGGTATTTATTTTGCTGGCTACATGAGTCAGCTGTGATGTCGTATCGTCTTTCCCAGAATCTGACTTCAACAGTAACTTCCTTTAACTGTGACACTTGAGCGAAAGAAATTTCATTACCCCCTCATCCGGCTCGTGTTTACAAGGAAACATAATAAAATATCTTCTTTATCCAGATTTTTATCTGACGTGATATTTGCGTTAAAAAGCTCTACTAATCTGCAACAAAACATTTCTATAACAAGTAATTTTCGTGGTGATTAATTCTGCTGACAGTCAATACACAATTTATCCGTGCTTACGTCGTATTAGGTAAATATTTTCAAAAAAAAATTCTGTAAGCTCTATGTTTATGTGCCCTTTGGTGATCCTTGTCTTGGGGAATCTTTGATATGTTTCAAAAAAAAAATGTTTCGCATACGGGGGGGGGGGCAATGTTTCTTCACGAGGATTTCCAAAAACCTGATTAAGAACAGGACCCGAAACGTCTGTACCCAATCTGTATCAAGTCCTTCATATTTTAGTATTTCTTCTCCAAGATCGTGATATTCTAGAACAGGGAAAGAATTTTTCGTAATTTTCTCGCCACGAATCAAATTCAAGATATTCGCCGACTACTGCATACGAGTTTTCATTCTTATAACTTACACTTTCCGCTTGTTCTACATTTGTCGGTTCCGATGGTATAAAAACGTAACTGCTGTGTATTTCAACGGCCTGATAAAACAACAAAGCCCACGTTTCAACCCGCAAAATATGTTATAATGAAGAGAAATACGTTCCTCAAACTGGAATATTTCTTTTCGCAAGTGTCCCTCCGACATAAAGCCAACATTGAAGATCTTCTTCATAAACAGGTGAAATTGAACAAGCAGTAGCTTTGTGTGCATCTGATAATCTGTTGACCTTACTTGTGTGCCGAGTACAATGACGTAAAAGCAAGACATTACCAGGGGTTCCTAACCTTAGCTCACGACCCAACTCTGGGACACGATTAATCAGAAGATTATTTCGTGTTAAGAAGGTGCCCGAAAAATTGAGTACAGTCAAATATCAGTTTAACGACTTAAGTCGGGATTAAGACCGCTCCTGTGAAAAGTCGTATCAATTAAACATACCTCAAACCACAGACGACAGATACTGTCCAACAGATAGTGATAAATTCTTTTCAAGAAATCACGGCGGTGAGTATGAAGGGCGATATTTAAACATCGTCCTGATGATGGAGGCAGCAAGCATATATGAAACGTTGGTACGGCTGAACAACTCAGAAGACAAGACATTTTTAAATTATTTACATGTTATTTCAGTCCCAAGTGAAGCATAGAATTAAAAGTTGAATATTTGTCCATTCTCTGTGTTTCTGGCGTTAAAAATGTTTAATAAAACAGGATGAAAAGATAATAAATGTATTCGTCTATTTTTGGTTTGCTTTGTCAATGAGACTTGGATATCGACATCACTTTACATTACAAACCATTAGCTAATTTCTCCCAAAAAAATTTAAATAAATAAATATACTCACAAACATGCACGCACCAAGAGAAAAGAAAAAGTCTCTGGTCTGGTTCTTTATCTGCCATCCACTTGCAGCGGTGTTCGAATGCAGCTATATTTCAAAACACTACGACCAAGCCCCACCGCAACAGGAAAGATTACAAAGCAAAATACTATGCAGCCCACAGTTGGGATGCAGATTCGAAGAACAACGCATTTAATTCAAATATGTTTCTTAACTCTGACGGCCACACAAAACAAACCTGCGTGCCATCACGTGGACAGCCCTGGATCAGCTCAGCTGAATCAAATGAGCAAAAATTGACCATATTCGTCTCGAGTTTCCTAAAGAATGTTTCAACATTTTACTACTGCATATCTGTGAACATTTTTCTTCATTATACGTGTAATCAATTTAAAAAAAACACGACGTTTCGGAAGCTGACTCAGCTTCAGTCATCGGGAGAAACCATACATCTTAGCCAGCTACGTCCGAGGATTGAAATTAGCTCCTAATGGACCCACGAGATGGCGGAAGCAGATCCAGCTTCCGAAACGTCGTATTTTTATAAAAAAAATTATTAGTCAAAGATATTTCATTGTAAATGCGTTATCAGGCTTGTTTTAAAAACAAAGATCAACTAACCTTAATGTATTGCCCTATGATGATCTGCTAAGATGGCACAACCAGTAATAGGACCCGATCTCGACACAGGAAGTTGAAACTTATTGTTTACTGTTTTTGCATCAAGTCGATATTTTACAGCTGAACGTTAAAGTCTCATTAAAACAGAACACAACGTCAGTCCACTTTCCAGGAACGTCAAACGCGTAATGCGATAAGTTTTAAGTCACCACAAAATTAATTAATTAATTAATTAATACATTACATTCTTTAAATAACACCACAAGACACTTTTCTATCCAGAAGCCCTGGGATTTAAAACTTACACTTTCATTCTGCATTACCACTCCATCAAGAGGCCAATGTTAACTCCGATCACACATTCGACGGTTGCCGCGTCAACGAACACAAGACACACGATAAATTACGTCAGATAACTTCTCACTGCAAAAGACGAATATTTTTTGTTGTTGTTCAAAGTTCAAAAGAAACTATTTTTAATTCAATTGTATCACACGAAAGTTAACTTTAGTTGAAAGTTCGTTTTATTTTTAAAAATGCCACGAAAACTTGCCTTCGTTACGGCAATGAACTGGGGGTTAAATTCACTCCAATGTCAAATGAACGTCGAGAAAGATTTTTGTTTGATTATTCTGTGAACAATGAAGAAGACAGAATGGACGAATGTTAATTTATAAAACAAAGGCGACGTGGAACAATACGAAAATCTTCGAAATAGAAATTTTAAAAAATATATAACGATCTGTGAACTTTAATAAACATTTCGATACTTGGAGCCGAAAAAATAAAACATTATAAAAACAACACGTTACTCCATTGTTTTACTCTTTATAAAAGTACTGACGACTAAAAAATTATTTAATTTAATATTATTCATCTCAGATAACGTTTCGAAATAAATTTAAATAATGCAGTACAGACTTTGTTATGATCTATTTCACTACATCGGATAATTATCTTTCAGGACAGCTAACGATAAGCTGATTTAAAATGTTAAAATGCGTTTCAAAGTAAATTATTATTCACGTTTGTCATTATTACGACAGGCTTATAACTTAACAAGTAATTTGTTAAAACGGAACACAGCTGGAAACAAAGACTATGAATCCCATCTGTCAAACTCGCCGTGAAATTATCAATAGATTGTTTACATTAGTCTTAATTACAGCGTGTTCCATGCACCAAATTCACGTCGGTTGCTCAGGTTATAATTTCATACGTGATTAATATTAAAATATCTTATACACACATTTAGAAAACCAATTATGGGTGCCTTATAATTTAAAATTGATAATGATTAAAAAGAAACATACAAATTACAGAAACCAGACTTGAAGAAATAAATTATTGAAGCGAACTCTCCTGCTTCGACAACGCGGTTTGAAGTTTACACCGGCTATTAGCAGAAGAAATGTGAAGCAGAGGACATCTGCCCTCGACAACTCATCCGCGGTGCAGACGACCGCGTGGCTCTGAACTACGCATGCGCCGTTCTAATACAGACACAACACCACAACACGACCGAACGCGCCGACACTCCAGCGCACACTGAGTCCTGGCCTGCGGTTCTACAGCATTTCTGACCAAACTGCCCCTTCGGCCGAAGACACGAGATCAGGGGAAAAGTGAAGTGTTACAATTTACCGCCATTTCACAGGTTCCAAAAGCCTCCATCACCACGGCGATAGCCCTGGTGATGCAGGCAGCAAGCACCTCTGAAACGTCGGTAAGTATCCAAGGGACCATGAACGATCTGATGTCTCTCACACTGCGTACAAGCAATCAGTTTTTTGGGGTGGGCGGATGGGTGACGGAATACGATTTTAAGTAGACGTAATTTCACGGACTGAACATTTATTTTAGTATCTGAATAATGAAATAAACTAATTAATATAACCCAAAAGTATAACAAAGCTAATAAATAACTTGCATAAACAGACAATGCACATTACTCCAAATCAAATTAATAAACAAATTTTTAAAACCTGTGGCTGTTTTTTTTACGAATTGGTCTCGTTATGAAATTTCCCTACCAAAATTTTGAGCGTATTTTTTTTTTTGCATCCAAATTATCACGTCCACGATTTAATTATTTTTTTTTGCACAAATATTTTCCCCGGCACATACGTTTAGATATTCTACTAAAAATGTATTCTTATTCCGTTCTGAGGACGTGTCTCATACCTTGAGAATAAAAATTTCACCTGTAACTAAAGTAAAACAGGAATTAGCGCGTGCCCTTCAGCCTGTCCCGCTTCCCCCACGCCCACTCCCATTTGCGGTCTTTTTTTTTTATTTATTTATGAATTCTCAGAATCTCGGAGATTCCAATCACACTCATGTTAATAGAAATTGGCTTTGCATTTGGTCGTAATGCGTTCCGTCGCCTCTCATCCAAGAATTCTCTCAGGCACAGCTGTTCGTCTAACTCGGAAAATCGATTGGTCTCAAGACATTTTATCCGTAATCTCTCTTAAAGTGTCCCAAGTGCTTTTATATATTTTTTTAGGACGAAGCCTTTATATGAGTGCACAAGTAATTTAATAGCGTATCCTTAATTACTGTCTAGACAGAAATAAAAATGTACGTTACTAGTGTTAATTACTGAGTGGACAGCTAAGTGTTTCGACATATAACTGCCACGATCACGCTATTAATCGTGTTCAACACCGTACTGAAATAAATACGCATGCAAAATAATGTTCTTATCAACGGACCCAAAATACCTCTTGTATAGAGACACTTAACAGTCGCATATATGGGAGGATAATATTAAAATGGATCTTTGAGTTGGATTTATCTGCCTCTTGATGGGGGCATGTGAAGGTGCCTTGAGGTCATGGCAATGAACCTCCTGGTTCCATAAAAGACGGAGAATTTCGTGGACAGCTGAGCGTACTAGCATTACCTTCTCAAGGAGGTCTCTGCTTAATGGAGTTACTTTAATATTATCATCCCATGAGCATCTACGCGACTTAAGAATGCCATTAGATAATCGAGTAGAGTAGTCGCAACACTTACTGCCCTCAAGAGTTGGTTAACCTCATAATTTGCAAGCTTAATGCTATGCCGATCACAATGGGAGCACGTTCTGGGGCGTAGTCCGACAGCTCTAACACCAGGATCGTGGCGTCGAATCTCGCTCGAGGCCTGTCTCGTAGAGATAAATGTCGGAACCCAGGACGCAGAAAGTTCTGCCAAATGCCAGGAAAAAAAAAAGAAAAAGAAAAGAGTTGAAAACGGACACCGGGCGAGGTGGAGCCACATGACACCGATTCGTGTGCCAAATAAGGACTCCCCTTCCCCAACTTCTTACCGTTCAGTACGGACTTCGGAAGAATTAAATTAATTCCTATATGATTAATAAAACGTACGATAACATTGTGAGCATTTGGACCACCCAGTCACTGCGTTGCATCATTTTGCCAACCGCTGAGACCCAGCCTCCTCGCAATCAATGAGTTAGGGGTGTCAAAACATCATCTCCCAGCAAAGTAGCAAAATAATCAAATATCGTCTTGTGCCTGTGTTGCATCATGCGGTTTTCTGATCAATTATTTACCTATTTTCTAATTCATGCTTCGGTCATTGCAGCTGGATGTAATCTATTGAAACTGACTGTCTTCTGCAGTGTAATATAATTGAAACTTACAGATGAGTTCTGAACGCTTACTGCTTCCATCATCAGGGCGATATCTGTAACGCAGAAGCATTGTGTTTCCTTTCAGGCAGGGGCTAAATTCATAAACAGTTTTGGTCTCTTAATGCGAAAGATCCTGTTCAACTTCTACCCTTGTTCCATTTTTCATATATCCACCCCCCGGTCATTTCGAACTCAGATCCGATTGAGACATTTTGTGTAGTTACATCACAAGCTTACGTAGACATTTTCCCATGTAATCGTCATTTTTAAGCTGAAAAACAAATCTTACTCCAAACACATGGCCATAGGCAATCATCCCCTAAGGACGACGGTAGCTAATTACAGAATGGCGGCAGAATCACGCATGCGCGTTGAGACCACGGCCAATATCGGTCTCGACCGCGACGGGAGAAAAGTAAGTGCCCCATTAAGTTATCCTGACGTTTCGACACGCGCAATCAGGTTTTATTCCCGAATTTGAAAAGTACCAAAAAAAACAATGATTTTCTTAATGTTTCGTTTTATCGCAGAGTAAAGTAATATTGAATTTCTGAACCGTAGCTGACCTCCGAACCATTAGCACAGTACGTAATCTCAGCCATGTCATAAAGTCAGTTTCGAATCGCCAAGTTCAATTCTTCTCATTTTCTGGTCCACTTATATGAAACCGGTTCGGCTCGTACAGATGAGTAATTTCATTATTACCCAACCTAGTCACGGTTGCCTAGTGATGGAAGTCAGTCACGCCTCTCTTTTGTTTTAAGTGTGATTACTTAGCCACAGACGATGGGATCCCAACATGCAATGCGACGAATGGAACAAGGAAAAGTTGCGCTATGTATATATGGCACACGACATTGTATAAGCAGGTCCTTTCAACTCTTTTCAACCCCTTTTACAGCGCAGTCACCCCTACTATTAGCAAAGCTTTTCAATGCGCGTAATACGTAATGTGCAAAGCTCGTCTAAATAATAATTAAAGATCCAGCCCGTACCGCGAAGAAAACACAAGGCTTCACCATTACGAAGATCTATTGGTTAACGCTGTTTAAATAAATAATCGATGTATACATTGAAAATCGAACGAAACACACAAATACACGTGATGGGTATTAATTATAAAAGTATATGGTACACATAGTTACCACTGGGCTTAAAAAACATGACAGTAAATCATGAAGTAAAGATTTAAATGCAAAAGTGACTTGCAGTTCTTCTCATTATACTAATTATATTAATTTATTGAAGCAAAGTATAATTACCGTATCCAGTCTGTTAGATAAAGAAATTTCTCGCCTTTTATGGAAAGATGCTTAGCACACCTGCTTCGTATTCAGGAGGGCTTTAATCTCGGCCCAGAGACCGGCTAGTCTGAATGATTATCTAACCAAAGCAAATGTTAGCATGATACATTATATCACGACAGCTTCCTTTCGCATTCTTTCCAATTCATTCTTTACTATAATTCTCTCATTCAACGCCATAGAGTCTGAGTGTCATTACACTTCCAGACCAACCTCCCTTCTAGCTAATTGAGCTTGTATGCTTTCTCTGTGGTAGGATCTACGTATGTTTCAGCCCAATGAAGTATCATCATTAGCACAGACCAGAAGCTGGAGTGTCCCATTTATTTTGAAACTCGCTTCGTTTTCTTGGCACTCCTCAATACAGTATTCCAGAGTAAAATTATATAACAGTTGTTGTGCTGGATTGCATAACACAAAAAATTCCAAGGTTCTGAATATTAACTCTATATAAGTTGTAAATATTGTGAAAGTAATTCCTGTGCTCCGCTGTACCCAAGAGCGAAACATTTTCTGTGTCGCTATAAAACGTGTGTAAGCTGTAAGAAGGAGACGGCGCATGCCTGAATTACAACAGCCTTAGCGTTTTATAGACTGTGAACCACTGTTTTTTTAGAAAATAACTGCTGGGAACGTAGCCGACAACAAGAAAACAGAAATCTTGTAAAAACCTTCAACATGATTACAACTTATTAGTACAGTGAGAACGGACATCGTTTGTATGGAAATTTCCTGAGACACTGAACCGGATGTGCGGTGTCTTAAGTGCAGCCTCGCTGCTTGCTGCATGGAGAACTGCTTGTAGTCGATGCTTAGGTTAGGTTAGGTTATGTTAGATTAGATTAGATTTGTGTATTTTGTTACGTTTGGTATTGTTTTGAAAATTTTTGTGACGATTCGACACT